TGTAATTTAATTTTTGTATTTGAAGAAAAAAAAATTGGTCATCTATAATAAGTTTTACAAGAATATTAGTGAAACATAAATAAATTTGACCATCAAAATAATAAATCTAAATTAGTCATTGAAACAAAAAAAAAGTCAAAAAAATATGTTTGAGGAAGATTAAATATACCCGTATGGGATTATAGTTTTTTTTTTAAAAATAATAATAAAAAATTAAACTAATTTTTTTTTTCATTTCCGTTAGAGGGAAAGGGTATATGTGAGCCATTTGTATATATGAGCCACTTTCATAACGAGGGGTATATCAGCTCTAAATGACAAAGTTGAGGGGTATATTAGACCCTTTTCCCTATCTAAAATAATAATAATAACCACCAGCATGTTTTCCAGTAGCTAAATCAGTCTATGAATACCTTTGATAAATTACAATAACAGTGAAGCCATGCAATACAAAATTGTAGTTGAAAAAAATGAAATGGTGAACAATATTAACTTGATCTTGTACTAAATGAGAAAAGAATGAAATTTATACATACATAGGTAAAGGCCAATTTCTACTTGTCATTTTCCAGATCCTTGGCCGTTTGTGTGACGAGGTGATTGTCGACTTCTTGGAGATTGTCTGTGACGATGAGATGAAGAATGCTCGGATTTGCTTTTCGATTCTTTTGGATTCTCCTTGATGGCTTCGATCTGTTCCAACACGTTCGTTACTTCTTTCATTGAAGGTCGATTCTTTGGGTCTCCCTCTAGACATTCTAGAGTAATCTGAGCAGCAAGTGTTGCTGCTTTTGAAGAATATTGGCCTTCCATTCGAGCATCCATAATGGACTTCAGCTTCCTTTTGTTAGACAGCATCGGTTTCACCCAGTCCACCAATTTCTCTTGTCCGTTTGGTCTTTTCGTGTCGAGTGCTCGTAAACCAGTCAGCAACTCAAGCACAACGACTCCAAATCCGTACACGTCACTTTTTACATATAGATGACCTGTTAACATGACAAAACAATCCCCATTAACATATATATTCTCCCTCGGTTTCATTTTATATGGTACTGTACTCTATTTCTGTTACTAGTTGTTGTTTCTTGTACTTCGACTCTCATATTACTTTGTTTCTGCTACTATCTGTTATTTCTTATACTTCCATTACTTCTTTTACTAAACTGGTTTGGACTGTTTTTTCTTGAGTCGAGGGTCTATCGAAAACAACCTCTCTACCTCTTAGGTAGGGGTAAGGTCTGGGTAAACTCTACTCTCCTCAGACCCCACTTAATTGTTGGAACGAATAAAAAGGGAAAGAGCGTCGGAACAAAAGGAGTAATACTGCAAATGCTTTCCGGTGTTTCTACAGGAGTTAGTTCCCAACTCTTAATGTAACTATACTTGCAAGTGGATACTATAGCAGATTGGTCAGACTTGAAAAAAACTATTGTTGTTCAATTTACGATTCAATAAGGTCTGCATACACACTACCTTCCCCAGACCACACTTGTGGGATTATGTTCAACGGGTTTATTCACGAATCACTTGTGAAAAAAGGGAAACAAAAAACGGAAGGCAATAAACAACAGAGAAGCTAGTGTGCTAATTTGTTGACATATAGAAACAATCAGTTGTTAGAATATCTTTAGATTTATGATCCTGACCTGAAAGTAGACGACGAATCTAACAAACAGAGGAACTTCATCAACCAACTAATCCATAAAACACTATGGTCATTGCTCTGATTACGCCCCAAAGCAACGTTTGATCAAGGCCAGAGCTAACCGTTCAACTTAGCACCATAATTCAGAACCATTTTGGCTTTAAATAGCTTGCAGTTTTTTCTCACAACTCCACATGGAGATTTTAGATTAGACACATATATAATAAAGGCTCAAGAAAGTGCTCACCAGTTTCAACATATTCTGGAGCAGCATAACCATATGTGCCCATAACACGAGTAGTTACGTGTGAGTCACTACCGGAAGGCCCCAGTTTAGCTAAGCCAAAATCTGATATTTTTGCATTGTAATTCTACAAAGCAAAAGGTGCAAAGCAGGAAGTGTTTCAACGAATGGCCAAATAATGATGCATAACAAAGTTGAGAGAAACAAATGAAAAAGAAACATTTCACGGAAAATTGTCATAACATGAAACTAGAAGCAGAGATGATATTCATGATATACATCAGAACTTGTAAACGGCAGCATGGTGCACTAAAGCTCCCGTTATGCACAGGTCCGAGGAAGGGCCGGACCACAACGGTCTATTGTACGCAGCCTTACCCTGCATTTCTCCAAGAGGCTATTTCCACGGCTTGAACCCGTGACCTCATGTTCACACATGGCAACAACTTTACCGGTTACTTCTACATCAGTACTTATAAATGTTCAAATGCATGAGTAACACAATACGTAACTCGCTAACCAAATAAAATGACAAGGAAGCAGACCTTACCCCATCAAGCAGTATGTTTGAGGCTTTGAAGTCTCTGTAAATGACTTTCTTTTCTGAAGTATGTAAGAACGCTAAGCCCCGTGCTGCTCCTATGGCAATTTTGAGCCGCAGGTCCCAAGAAAGCGGTTCAATAGCAGCACTCCCTACAAAGCAGACAAGCTGAAGGTCAGCACACCATATAATTATTCGAGCTTTGGTCTTATTGAATTTCTAACACCAACTTCTTACTTCTGAATAGATGGTTTTCCAAACTCCCCTTGGGCATAAATTCGTAAACGAGTAACAGTTCCTTGTCCTCATGACAATATCCCAGTAGTTTAACAAGGTTAGGATGTGAAAGCCTTCCTAAAAAGTTCACTTCTGACTGCATTTTTCAGCGATACGGATTATGAGCATTATATAAAGACTCTAACTGGAAAGCATAGATCACAATAACTGGCAACATAAAGATTGCTAAAACAAAAAAAAGACGGAAAATATCACATGGATATTCCTACAACAAATCATAACTATACAAACTGAAATTTTTGGGGAAAAAATCGTAGCAGCAAAGAACATAGCAGACAAAGCAAAACATGATCTAGCTTGAAATTTATCTCCATAACTCCATCCAATTGGAATCACTTTTGTAAAACAGATTGTTTTTTTGTTTCTGAAGCTGGACGCGAAGAGCCTGTAAGATAGAGAAGTTGTTTTTGATCGACCCTCAGCTCGAGTAAGCAAATACAAGAAAGATAAATTTGCTCAAATTTAAAGAGAAATCAGTTGTCTGTGAACTAGCAAATCCAACATTTAAGTTTCTAACTTGACATTATGCAAATTAAGCAACCGAAATCCAAACAGTATCGATTCTAGAAGAAAATTCGTATAATGTATTACATATATGTACAAAACCATTCACTTAGACTATACACATCTTACTATTTTCTTAGTTATTTCAATTGCATCAAGCAAGTATAGTAGGCATCCTAGTTTCTTTGATGGCCTTGCCTAACCAACAACTAGTAGCGGAGCCAGAATTTTCACAGAAGGGGTTCAAAATATGAAGAAGTAAACACACTATGAAGCCGAATGGGGTTCAACATCTACTAGTGTAATTTTCCGCTAAAGGAGGGTCAAATGAACCCCCTCGCCCTACCTGGTCTTGCCCCCTGTCAACAACTACTCAAGACCATTACTCACTCACTCTACAAACCGTTAGCTCAACATTTGTGCATTTTAAAGCACTTTGAGTAAAAGGGAAAAGGCCAAAGTATTGGCTGCTTCGATAAAAAAAAAAAGAGTCGAAATTAGAGTAATTGTTTTATCATTGTATCAAAAATCTCAACTGTATACCTGCCACTCTTCAAATCCTTGAGTGCTCTCAGAGTTCAACTTCTTGATGGCAACAATCATTCCAGTGCCAGGTTTAGTCGGAGTAAGCGTCTTCTCATCAACCCATCCTTTATACACGGTCCCAAAACCGCCAATCCCCAAAACTGAGTCAGGCTTGAAATTCTTCGTGGACAACTTCAAATCAGAAAAACTATAAATCTTCAAATTTGGAATCGGCAATATCTCTCCGTTCAAACATGTATCTTCACTTGCAGCTGCTGAGAAATTACTACATCCAATACTGCCACTCGTGGCCGAATAGCCAACGCCATTGCTGTAGCTCTTTGATGTATCTGCACAAATACTAACAATCATGTAAATCTATAATTCGAATCTTCTCACTCTCAGCTAAGCATAAAATCCATAGTTTTTATGGCCATAATCTACCAAACTTCTCATTTCTACCACTAATGACATGTTCTCAAAGCCATACAAATGTGATATATACATATATTTAAGAATAAGACAACAAGTTCTAAGTTTGTTATGCGCCAAAAATGTATATACATATACACTATATGTTGAGGCCATCTGGCTCCATTATGTGTTTATTTTGATGTTCCTTAGTGAAAATCTTGACTCCATCATTGAACACCAACCACCGCCATATACAAAAACAAGAAAAAAGGGGAAATTCCGAAAGTACTCAGAATAGAAACTAAGCACTAACAGAACTAAGACGTCCAACAAATTATAAAATTCAAGAATTAGTTACTAGCTCTGTTCATTACATTCTTTCCTTCTTAGTAGTTAGTATGTTCCAAAAAAAAAGATTCCACCTTTCTATATTGATGAACTTTAAACTTCTCATTTTACCATTAACAACATGCTCTCGTAACCGCATAAACACGATATATTAAAGACAACAAGTTCTAACTTTGTTATATGCCAAAAATCTGTTCTTTTAACTCTGTCCACAATCAAACACACCACCAGTAACACCAACCTTCGCCTGCTGTCCAAAAAAAGGGGTGATTGTTGCTAGTGAGATTCGAACACATGAGCACTTAAGGCTCTTTTCAGGGCATCTAAAACCACTGGGCTACAACACCTTGTTCTGTTCAGAATGTCCAAAATATGTTATTTAAGCATTTTGTGTATCATTTTACTTATATATACGGTATTATTTTCTGATGACTATAGGGTAGCTACGCCCCTGCTCTTGCTTATTCGTGTGCTTACTTCTTTATAATCTGACTCCGCTCAGTAAAAATCCTGACTCTTTCATCCAACATCGCCTGTGGCGGCACCAAGTAGGTGAACCCTTTGGACGAAAATTTACGCTATTTATACACGATTAAAATTTCCTCTCTTTTTTAGCAACTATGTAATTCCAACTTTCCATACAGACATATATAACACCACAAGATTTAAAAATATTTCAGTACATTTAACATATCTTTAATTTAATGTCTATTGTCAAGTCAAAACAGGACAAACAGATGCATAATTTGTGCATAAAAAGCAAGAAGAAACAAAAAAGTACCTGGAGTAGATGGTCTAGCTGAGAAGCTAGGGTAAGTACTACTAGATTTAGAGTTAGAAAGCTTAGCTCCAAAACAATTCCCCATCAAAAATTCTACACTTTAAATTTTCCCTTTCACTTCAATATAAGTTGTAACATAATTCAATTGAAAAAAGTGTAAGAGTTCAAAGGAACAAAGAAAAAGGATGGAAATAGAGAGCAAGAAAAAAAGGATATTAATATTATCAATCAATGAAAGGGAAAAGGGTGACTTTTTCTTGGTGGAATTTTCCAAGAATTGATAGTATTAGAACAAGACATATTGTTTGGCCAAGTTTTTCTCTTTTGTTTTCCCACTTCGTGTTTGGTATCTGTTTTGAAGTTTAATTATTTTATATCCATACTCAAATTTAAAACATAAAAATTTCAACTATCCCACTATAACTCATATTGATATATTGTTTAGTGAGTTACGTAAGCCAAAGATGATCGGATACACACCTTTCGTCGAATTTCTGACTATTGATAAGTTGGCTCCTCCTTTTCCAATATGCGCCAAAAATATATTTTATGTTTTTCAGATTCGAATTTTTAAAAAGTTTCTTCACGTTCAAAAATCGATTATGTAAATAAGTAAATTATTTATAATTTGTTATCTACTTTAATAAATTGTAAAATCTTATGTTGGTTTCAAGTGATGTTGATGTGCATGACTAAAAAAAATATCATATATTATATGATTAATATATTTATATAAAACACTTGAGAACGTATAAAAAATAATTCAACATTTAAAAAAAATATCTAATAGTACAAATATTTTGTCTATATTTAAAGACTCAATTAAAATATAGAGAGAGAAAACAGGATACTGCAAACTGCAAGTTGAACAAAAGATATTTTTTTAAAATTTCAACAAAAGTTAGCAAAAATAATATTTATATAGCACTGAAAATAAAAGGGATGAAACTAGTGCGTGTGCCATTAATAATATAAAATACAATATTTTATAAAAGAAAATAATGAAAAAAGTACATTTCTTTGTTTATTTATTTATTTGTTTATATTTAAAAAATATTAAAATCAATAGTTCATCAGACTTTGTTTTATTCTCTCTTTATATAAGTTTCTAGAAGTAAAGTTATAAATCTAAATATATAATTTGAACTAAAGTTATTGAATTATGTCGAGTGATTAGAAATGAACAGATATTTACCACCACCATTTGTAAGGTCAATTGTCACATATGCAAACTATATTAATTCTTTTTTTTCTTCTTCTTCTTTTTGTTCCAATAATTATGTAGTATATATGTACATTCATCATTAATTAATTATTAAAATGGATGACTTCCTAGGTTTATATTTCTTGACTTATATCACTAAGAATTGGACCCCTTTTTTTCATTGACTTAATTTTTTTCAAAATAAATAAAATAAATTAATATAGGTGTGGAATGTGGACTTTTTTTATATATAAAAAAAGAATACAGCAGCTTTCGACGTCATTCAGTGTATATTCAATTAGGAAACAAAAAAGTGAAGAGTCAATTATTTCAACATTTGGCTAGTGTGTAAATGATTTACTTTTGTTAGCATGAAATGTTTTCATATCTATTTCGGATCTTGATTAATTTGAATTTGTATTGAGAAATTATTTTTGAGATAAAATATTTATTATTAAAAGTAATTATATATATCATATTATTAGGATTTTGAATTTGAAATTTTTGTATTGAAAATTTATCGAAAACAGACTGTCTCTATCTTATAAAGAAAATATTCATCATTACCAAGCAATTCCTGAAAAAGTGAGGTAAAGTAAATAATGTCATTTTTTCTTGTCACTATCTAATCATAGGTTGGTACTCGTTAATTTCTTTTGTTAGTTTATGAAGAAAATAACAATATTGACTACATTATAAAATTATTAAACTGCAAAAAAAATTGACTAATGTTCTTGGACAACATTATCACCTAATATGAATCATTCTTAATGGCCATTTTTGCATTTTCTAATACTCCTTTCATTTCAATTTAAATATTTTTTTTATAAATTTAATTAAAAAATTTATTACAACATTTTACGTGACATGTTTAAGATCTATAGATTTCCAAAGGATATTTTAGCAGTACAGATATCTTTAAATACTCGTTATGTAAAATAAGATATTCAAATTAAAAAAACAAAAGTACTAATTACTTTTTTAAACCAGATTAATCACCTAGTTGCATTGAAGATCACTGACCAAGGAATAAAACGCATTCATAGAATGCGATTTATGAATAAAATTTGAATTTTTCAAAGATATACAGTTCAAATATAAAATTTATGTCACGTATTCTAATAAATAATATTATATCTATTTAAGTCCATATTATTTGTTAGATTACATATAAATTCTCTTGATATAATCTTTTTTTTTGTTTCATACCAAACATACCTTTTTAAGTACGAAAAGGGGTCAAAATGCTCTCAATGGATAGTTTGGTTCAAAAAATGTTTTTATTGTTACTTAATGGGTCACAATGCCCTTTTCCTATTTTGTCCCAAATAGCTTCGTTTCTGATCCTCTCTCCTAGTAAAAACACACCTCCATTTTAACATCCTAATTTCCACTACTCTCATATTTTGGATGTGTGAGTTTTTGATCGTTCAACACTCTACCCCGTACAATATATTTCGTTTGACCATCATTTTGTAAAAAACCTTTAAGGTTTGATGACACATACTTATCACATAATTAGACACGAAAATCAAGCTTTCATCTATATGTTCTACTTCAATACGATGTGGAACATAAATATTATGATAACAAAAATATTATAACTATTACTCAATTGACCTTGGTTTTCAAAAGAAAAGTAATTTGCTTTACTCTTTTTTCTTTTTCAGATTGAAAATTATGATAACAGAAATATTATAACTATTACTCAATTGACTAACGTTTGTTGGTCCTCCATAAATTATGAACATGACTTTGAGCCATAGAATTGAGGAACTCAAGTTATAATAAACTTTTGTTTAATGGCAGATTTTGTAGTTGACATTTGAATTTTGAAAATTTGATCGTAAAATTTACTTCCATATTTGAATTATTTCTACTTTAGATAAAAAGTTTGAAATTTTATAAATTGAAGACTCCTCTTCTCATATCAGCACACACAATAACATTCACAAGATAGTCATTAAAGAATTTTATTTATGGGGATTGGAGAGATTATTCTTCCAATAGAGTTTATATTTTATTATTTTTTTAGTTTAGACCAAACCATATTAATAATATATTTTTAATATGTTTTTATTTATTATCTAATTTATCACCAACATGATTTATAATTATAAATTTGTGCATGACGCCCTGATTCTTTCGAACCCAACAAAACCACTGTCATTTTTCTTGTCAGTATTTATTTGTGTAAGTTGGTACACTTTATTTTATTTTGTTAGTTATGAAGAAAAACAACAATATTGACTACATTATAAAATTATTAAACTGCAAAAAAAAATTGACTAATGTTCTAGGATGATATTATCACCTACTATGAATTTTTCTGTATGCCCATTTTGCATTATTTTTTTTTAATACTTCTTCCATTTCAATGTAAGTATCTTGCTTTTTCTCGTTAGTATAATTAAAAAAAAAATATTTTTTATATATATTTAATAATTTATTAAATTTCAATATTCTACCTTACATGATATAAAGATTCAAAGGGCATAATTTTAGCACTATACACATCTTTAAATATTCCTTATTTTCATATGTCTTAACCTCGATAGATATGGATAGATTACTTGGTACATATTGTTGGTGGAAGATATTCTATAGAATTAGTAAGCGAAAATTGATAACCTAGTGATAAATATGCTTAATAAGAAAAGGTTTGGAGAAAAATAACAGTTTTAGCTAGCATTTGGCCGTAAATTTTTTTCAAGTAAAATGCATTACAAACATAATTTCAAATTTTGAAAAATTACAACTTCAAAAACTCATTTTTTTAAATCTTAAATTTCAACTTCAAAATTTAGGATGATTTGTTTATTATAACTTGAGTTGATTAATTCAATGGCTCAAAGTCAAGTAATCCTATGTCCATAACTTATGGAGGACCAACAAAGGTTTAGTCAATTGAGTAAAAATTATAGTATTTCTGTTATCAAAATTTTCAATCTTAAAAAGAAAAAGAGAAAAGTAGATTACTTTTTTGAAAATCAAGGTCAGTCAATCTTTCTTCTTATTGAAATTCTTGTGAGAAAAAAAGACTTTGCAAACAAAAAAATTAGCAAAAATTGAAAAAAAAAAACTTTTACAAAAAATAATAATTCACCACTTCTAACAAGATGACATGATTAATAAACTTTGAACTTGGATGAGAATAGTGAAAACGAGGATGTTATATGGGGCAGAGTGTTGATCGATCAAGAATTAACACGCTCAGGAGATGAAAATAGCGAAAATGAGGATATTGAAACTTTATAGGAACCCATAAACTTCAAATCACGAGAACTTTCGTCAAGCTTTCATGATATTGTTATATTTTTTTTATATAAATTCGGAATTGATATTCATGATACAAATTTATTATTTTTTGTAGATTAAAATTATTACACACAATTATTCCTTTATTTTTTGTAGTCTACGCATATGGTATAAACTTTTATATCTAAATATATCATATATTTTTATGATATAAATATAATTTATAAAGGATGTGTTTGGTATGAAGAAAAAAATATTATATGTAATCTAGTAAAACAATACAAATTACCCAAATATAGTATTGTATAATATTATATATCAGGATACATGACATAATATTTTACGTTGGAGCGTATATATTTGAAAATTTCAAACTTTGTTTATAAAACGCATATGCTGAATGCGCTTTATTTCTTATTGTGATTTTCAATGCATTTCCTTATTCCTTATTGTCCCTCTTAATAGCATTTATAGAACTACGCAATAGCATATATTCTTTCTCTATTAATATATACAAAAACTTCACTTTATTATATCTGGTGATTTTGTTAAGAATCAAATTGATTCTGTTTTCAGCAGATAAAATCACTACTTGTTAATAACTATAAGGTTTGTGTATATACTGTCCTTTTTTAATCTTATTTTATGGGACTATACTGAATATATAGTTGTTGCAATAAAGCAAAGTTGAAGAATGTAAAAAAAGGAAGAATTGAAGCCATAGTTTGGCGCTTTGGCCTTCAATATAATACA